CCTAGTGTTGCACCCCTCCATTTTTTTCGACCAAAAATAAAAAAGAAAACAAAGTTCAAGTTTTCAACTAATTAAAAAAAAAGAAAAAGTAGATGCATAACAAATTTAGTTTGTTCTGTCAATTTACGGTCATGCGGATTATTAATATCGTGCGTAAAAGCTGTTTAAATTTTAAAAGGTAATAATAATATTATTATACTTAAGACTCAATTTACATGACTTGTTAATTTGGTGGTGGAGAGAACTTGCATGTCTAATGTCAATTATCTAAAAGTCAACACCAAAGTCTTTATTATTATTATTATAAACATCCAACAATACCAACAACCAAGGTCTTTAAAATATAGCAATTGGTATAAGAAAACGTCTTTGAACGAAAAATTTATGGGATTTATGCCGCAACAATGTTACGGGTTTAGCATAATTTCGAAGTTAGTTCATGTTTGCTAAATTTGAGATCGGTGAGTGTGAATATTTCGTTACATAAAAAACGTTTACCAAAATGATTAATCTGCGATTTGGTTACGATTACACAAGAAATTATCATAAGAATAGTCAACAACATAGTTCTAAATAAATCGAACGTAAACAGTATGATATATATTACCACATTTCATTTGATTGAGCTACGTACCATTTAAACTGCTAACACCCTTCCCTTAGTAGTTTTTTTCTTTTCTGTTTTCACAAATTTGTAACAATTACAAAACCCACAAGAACAATAATTACCAAGAGACACTTAACCAAGTTCCGGTTTGCACTTGAATAATAGCCCCACTGATCATCCGGTTCGGTCCGGTACAGTTCCCCAGGCACACCGGTCACGTACATGTAACTCGGTGGTGGTGGAGCTGAAGACGACCTACTACAGTAAACCGTCTTCGGTGGTGGTGGCGGCAGCAACGGTGGAGACTCATGAGCACAAGAGTTAACGCAAGAGTCTTGAACTGGTGACAGAGTTGTAAATTTGGTATGTTTCAGGGTCGAATCGGAACTAGCTTGATCAGTGAGACAGTGTAACGCGAGTAACATGGAGAAGAAAATTATAACCAGATGTTTGGGTTTCAACATGATCATGATTAATGGGAATATGTCTTTTAATTCAAGACTTGAGAAAGAACAATAAAGCACTATTTATAGTAAAAACATACATGTGCAAGTAACATCACTTATATGCATTTGGTGAAGACCAGATCATACAAATTGCATTGCAAAAAAGATGATGGTTCTTCAGTTTTGAATAAGTCTTCAGTTTTGATAAGTTCAACTTTTTTGAGTCGGGCCTGTTTGAGGCCCATATTTTTGGGTTCTGAGCCCAAAACATATGCATTTAGTGAAGACCCCAAAACATTTTTTCCTGTATGAATTACATGAAATATATTTTTCAAGAGCAAATCGGAATTTGTCACCAATGATATATTATGAGAACGATGACTGAGATAAAGAGAGTCAGAGAACACAACACGTATCCTCCTTTAACCACATGTACAACTCCTGAATACAACACGTAACAAAAGTGAAAAGATTTAATAAAGAAAACAAAACCATGGACCGACCCTACGTAACTTAAGCTCAAATATACTATTAGAAAGAACAAAAAAATAAGAAGAACAATTTATCGAAAAAAGACTAAAATGATTCGCTTGGGTCTCTATATAAACATCACAATCCAACTCTCAATAATCTTCCACTTCTTGTTCTACTCATATTCGATACATCACATTACTATAACATCAACAACCATTTCACCTCTTTGATATATATACTTTATTTTTCTCCAAAATAGTCCGGTTATCAATTACAAGGATGATTCCGATATGCGTGCAATGCGGAACAGGAGGGAACCCATGTAGATGCAAAGTGGTAGGACCGACATTAGGGCTTGTGGCGTTTGTAGCTGCCGGAATAGTCGAGTGGCCGGTCGGAGCTTTGGTTTATATCTTCAAACATGCAAAAGGTCGCCGTATAATGGGTCATCCAGCCACACACGTTTATCCCAAAGTCTCACGTTCCATTCCCATTTGAATATGACTTTGACTTATTACAATCAAACTATGTTATATGTTTCTGAGTCATATTGTACCTTAATCTTATGTTCTTCCTTTTTTTTATTTTACTTTCTTCGAACTTTAATGTTGTAACAACCATATACCGGGGAAAAAGCTAATTAAATCTTCCTTTCCAATTAAGAAAGTCGTTCATCTTCGATGGGGACAAGAAGATAAGTTTTCATTTTTTGCAATTTCTACAAAGTACGAACTTAAATGTAGCTACTACCCATGTACCGGGGGAAAGTATGTTCGCGAGCATTCATTTTCAATCGAGAGGAGAGGACAAGTTTCGACACTAAACAGCTATTGTTCGATTCAATGGTTACGAGTTCAATTTAAAATCGAGGAAAGAAGACAGTTTCAAAATAAAATTTGTTTGTAATCTGAACGGTCGTGTCAAGTGTAAAACAAAAAGATTTAGATTTTTATCTGCAAGCTCATCTACCAAACTTTAGCAGCATACATGAAGAGAGAAAATAAGTTTTGGCGATGGATCCTTAAAATCCATTTGTAACTTGCAAACCATGTTAGACCGTGAGAACGGTCTAGTACCGGGTACGCCTGCAAAGGACATAACCAATTGTAAGAGAGATTTTTTGTATTTCCCATGAATATAAAAACCAACATGGCTCTGATTTTATTATACCTGTGACGATCATAGTCCCTTGGTCTGTCTCTTGACCGGGACCGTGACCTGCGTCTGTTTCTTGAGTGTGACCGATCGTAGTCTCTGTCTTGTTCACGATCACGGTCATGGTACCTGTCTCGATCTCTACTCCTACGATCATAATCTCTTCCACGTTCACGACTAG